ATACCGCTGCTCTGTAGGGTGAGGAAGTTACTCAAGTAACTTACTTCATATTTTTTAGCTTTTTATGCTGAATTAATTTAGACTTAGAAAACAGTTGCAAATATAGGACAGTTTCCAATATATCCTTCATCCAGCTTCCACTTATTGTTAACATATAGCAATAATGAAATGACCAGGAAATTAGTAATGAATCTACAAACCTCATTTAAATTTCACCAATTATCCATTTTTTGATTCAAGATTAAAAATTTCTCTAGGTTCTCAAAATCTGTCCTTTCATCAGTAGATCTTAGAAATTTTCTAGGATTTGATGCAACTGTCATTTGTGTAGTTTGTTTAGTTCACTTCTTTCCCTTTGAAAAATTAGGAACTTTTGCACATTCTCAATATTCAATTTCCCATTTGGTTAAAGGTCATCAACAACAGGTTTGCTTATATAGTAACTTTTTTTCAGTAATTTTGAGTGTGATTCTTTTGAAACAGAAATTCTGTACTTTCACAAATGAAAGTTCCTTCTATCTCTTGTTTTAAATTGGGCTTCCTTTACCCTAATAGATGTTTTATTTGTGTTTTTAAGTCCTTTACAAAGGACGCATAAGCAAAATAGTAACTGAAGATGTCTGTTTTTCTCCGTGTCAACCCTTGTTTTAGGACTGTGAACATTAAGCTTATTCTTTCATCTTCTGATCTGAACATAGGTTTCCAAACACTTTTGTTGTTGTTGTTGTTGAGGGGGGATAGAGTAGTGGTACTTTTTCAATCTATGGCTCATTTTTGTCATATAACCTTCCAAACACCAGTCACTCCAAATTTAGCAATGAATTGTCTGTTCTGAAGATTAAGCCTTCAGTCTGCATTGGATTCTTAAAATGCTACCATATTTTCTTCCACATCTGACCACTTGAAATTCCATACCAGAAATGCAGTCTTGAGACTCTAACATTTTTTGGGTTTTTGTTCGTGTTTGACTTATAAAAGTTTAAAAATACAAAGGCTATCATGTTCAGCCATTCCCTTTCTGCATATCACCGATTCGACAAATAGTCATTTTTCTCCTTAGGTATCCAATTCTGTCCATTTTTTTCCCTGTTACAAAATCACAGAATCTTTCATTAAATAAAATATCAAAATGTGAAAGGACTGTTTCTTGATATATCCTCTAGTTAGGTCGATGCACTTCTGAATATAATGTTTCCATCTCTCTAACCCTTCCCCAAAGAATTCTACACTCTTCAATTTACACCACTTCAAAATGGCAGTTGGGGCATCCTCTAAGGATTCAAACCCTATTTCTTTTCAGTATTCTTTGATTTTAAGAACAAAAGGAAGTCTGAAGGTGTAGGATAAGGGGTATAGGATTGATGGAGTAAGGTTTCCCAATGAAATTCTCGTACAACAGTCTTTTCTGCCCTCAAAATATTAGCAGGTGCATTGTCATGATGGGGAAAAAAATTCACAACAAAATTTTCCTAGCCTTTTTCTCACCAAGGCAGTTTTCAATTTTCTTAAAACTTCTTCATATAATCCCTTATAATTATCCTGTGTCCTTTGAGAAAATCTTTCAAGATTGCTCCTTTGGCATCCCAAAAAATAGTTGTCATATCCATCTGAACTGACCTCTCTGCCTTGAGTTTAACTGGTCCAGTCTCTTGGAAGCCACTGTTTACACTGGACTTTTATTTTTGAAGGAAACTTAACAAGACTTAGACAATTATACTACTGAGAAAACTTGTCTACAATGATCCACTGATCAGAGAGACATTATGGTTCAAATAAACTCCATATGTGTATGAACTGGAAACTTAGGAGCAATACTTTTTGATTCCCACTCGTACATTAAGTCATGATGTAGAAATATAAGTTCAGCTCATTCTCTGAAAAAAGCAGAAAAGTTTTGAAACAACCAATAAATTAATACCATTTATTAACTACTACCACCAATTTATACTAGCCCCCAATGTTAAGCAATTCTGTTATAACACTGAAGGACCCTACTGGACC